AGACCCCCATGCCACCCTTCTCCAGTGCGACGGTTTAGGGTTTAGAGTTTAGGGTGGCTATAGACACAAACAGTCTCTCTGAAACTCTGACTGTTGCAAAGGCTTTGCGGCGTTCACCGTGTCGCATCACCCAGCATCTGGTATTGCATTTAGCAGTCTTCTTGAGCCATGCCACTTCCTGGATAGCCGAAGCCGATCAGAACGCGTGTGAACTCGGTGACATCCACGTAGCCTTCCCAACGCTCCATGTCGGAACTGCCAGCTTCAGGCTGGATGTAGACAGAGAAGTTACGAGGCTAGGCATCAGAACGGCCTCCGTCTCCATAACAATCATTACGACATCTCTTCGAAGGAATTCAGTCTCCAGCACCGGGCGAGGTGCCGTTCTTGTCCAAGTCAAAGAGCTTGAAAGCACTCATCATGCCTTGCAAGAGTTCCCGGCCACAAGTCATGCTGTGTGTGGGTTCACGCGCCGTGTGACGGCTTTGCTGTCATCGGTGCTGCTGGACAAGTGCTTGTGCTTGTGCTTGTTTTGGTCGACCAGGCTCTGCGAGCACTTGCATATAGTACGCCGTGAGTCAAGGGCCCGGGCAAAACATCTTTCGACCAGCTTCGGATATGATGTTTAACAGCGTGCAATCGGAAACTTCAGTACGGTAACGTTCAAGACCATCACTCATCCTCAAAGACTGTGACAGCCAAGCAATCCCCCATTTGATATCAATCCTTTAGGTTTCGGGTTCAGGTTTTTTTTTTAGACGACCCTTTTCCATCTGCATGAACGTCCAGAAAGCGGGCTTCCGCTGGGTGTGTCTCGCGACCGACTGTGCATGTACAAGCGGATACGTTTTGTGTTTAGGGAACCTTAAACCCGGTGTAAACTCTAAACCCTAAATGGGAAGATCGGTTCTGGCAAAGCTGCCCCCAAACTGCTCGTCCGCGAAGGATTGGAATCTCGGCGCAGTCCGAATTTTGGGTGCGGGGGACAGTGCATCACTGCAGCAGCGCTGACAGGCTTTCGAGGCCAGAAACTCAAAGCATCCGAGGGTTTCGATGGTAAGGTAGACTGTTTCGCGTCTCGAGATGTCTCGAGATTTCGGGCACCTTCTTGCAGGTCATGCACGAACAGACACGAACCCAATACAGGGGCCTGAATAATTACCAAAACTATGGTGGGGGCTTCCAATTATAATTATGGTATAACATACCCCAGACCCTATTCAAGTATTAAGGCCCCGAATATAGAACCCTACTATAGAGTATATAGACCCCCTTAAAAAAAGAACTCCCTTCCATATGTTAAGGCCTAAGCTGGAATCCGACAGGAAGAGCCGTGCTGCCTTGAGATCAACTCCGCAGAGTCCGGGTCGATATTGTGCAAGGTAAGGTAGGTGGAGCCCGCCTGGTCTTAATATAATATATAAATATAAACATTACATAATATGTATGTATATATATATATGTACACAATATATATATATATATATATATATATATAGATATATATATGGTGTACATATATAGTTTCAAATGTATACATATGTGTGTGTGTGTGTGCACGTACATATGTGAATGTATATATATGTACACATATATATATATATATATAATTATATATACATATGCGTATACATATTTATGTATATACAAAGAGAGAGACTTACTCATTTATTTATAATAGTCACGTTTCCGTCATATGTCTCATTGTTGCATCAGTCGGGGTCGCTGGTTGAAAGTCAGGTGGAAAACATTTGTGTAGTAGAGGGTACACAGGCTTCGAGCTCGTATGTCCGGTGCAATCGTTCGTCCTTCACTTTCCGGCAGGATCCGGGGCGGGTGGCTGGCCCGATCGGTAGCATGTTGAGCAGAACTGCCTTCTCCCAGTAAAACGAGCGGCATTCGACCCTTTGCTTTGTGCAGGTGTGTGTTTCCGTTCTTGGGGTGCCTTTCTTTTTCTTCGCACTTGATGTGGCTTGACGTGTGTTCCCTCACTTCACGAGTAACGCCTTGCGGCAGCGAATGGATGGCTGCAAGGCCGACACTCGAAGAGCAAGCCGAAGTGCCGCTGGGGCCCAGGCTGTTAGAAAGCGCCATGCCCCAGCCAAATCGTTGTGAAAGAGAACCTCAGCTACACACGATCGAAGCTGAAGCCTGCTTTTGCTGCCCCTTTTGAACAGAGAACCTCTGAATCAAAGCACTCAAGCAAACATCGGCCAAGTAGCCCGGGAGGCTCCTTCTTGAAACCTCTGCCAGGTCACACGGTTGCTGTTGTCCTCCGGCGAATGCAGGTGCGGTTCTTTCGCAAGCCATGGTGGCGGAGCTCGGGACTTAAGGCTCTTTCATGCTTCTGAGTGCTCAAAACATGATTCCGCTCCCCATGGTCCCGGCGATACAGTGCTCGTTGCCGACTCTTTGGGATGATAAAAGGCCTTGAATTCGGGATTCTTGCCCCCAGGTTCAAGTACCCGACGCCCCCGTCCTTGTCCAAGCAAGACCTCCAGGCTTTGAGGTAGCTGTGATAGATCTTTCTCAAACCTGAACTCGATCCGGTCGGGGGTCTGATGTCTGCTGGAGGGGGCTTGGTCTGATCGACCACATACCCTGCCCGGTGTTGAGACGTATAAGTCTTAGTAACCTCCCCTAAAGTCTCCCATAATCTTCTCTACTTGCAGTAGAAATTCTGCAGCATGGGCATTGCCTGACGAAGTTGCCTGCATCGCACTCCGAGTCCCTTTTTGCGCGCGCACAGCGCTTGAGCTTCGGCGAAACATCGTCGGATCATCGATGCTTCCCTTGACTTATCGAACCCGGTCTTCCTACACCCTCACCAAGACTTCGGCACGGTAAGCAGTATAATTATCACAGATTGAAACTCTTACTCTTAACCTCAGATTCCTCAGATCTCATCCTCAATCCTGAAGTGTTTGGCCAGCTCTGTCACCGTCGGCTTGCGAACATCGACCCAGACCTGAGGCGAACTCACCATCAGCAGCAGAAGTCGTTTACACAGATATAGAGCAACTCTGCCTATAGTCTCCATTGAACTTGCCTTTTTGGTTCACCAAGACTTTATAAACATAGGATAGTAACCATAAAAATGGTTAACCAAAACAGAGGAACTTCAATGAATACTATTAGGTAGTCCCTGACCATGTAGCCGCAGCGCGGACATCACCATTACACTGGGTTTGCTGTTCGTGCGACTCTTCTCGCTATCACTGGCTATGCTGCGTATCTTGTTTGTCCCAGATTATGCTGATGGACATTAGTCACCATATCACCAGTGTCATGCTATGCTGCCCGTGGACTGCCGATGATGACCACAGCATGTTGCCCTGCACAAATAGCTTCAAAAATCGATGCTCATGACTCGTGGCTATTACCCCTCCTGTGAAGCAAAGAATGACCCCGCTCAGAACTGCTGAGGATTGACGGACGTTGGGGTTGGACGCAATGCATTGTGCCGTTGAACAGAAAAGCTATTGCCCTGCTGCCAGCGCGACGACTCCTTGCTGCTGCTGCTGCTGCTGCTGCTGCTGCTGCAAGCAGGACAGCGACTAATTAGCCAGAACCAGGCATGACTCATGACTATCGAGATCGTTCACTTTGGAAACATGTGTTGTCAGCTGCCACAGTACTGCTGCTAGTATAAACTCGCATGACACTGCTGTCATCATGCGTTTGTCCGTGATTTCGTTCTCATGCTGATTTATTCGTACTCGCAACCGCTCGAATGCTCTACCTCTTCGCCGTCTACCGGCATTGATATTGATCATGACCGTCTCAATCCACCCGGGACTTACAACGGCTCCCGCAGGCCCCACAAGAAGCCAAGCCAACATGGAATCAATAGTGCAGTTCTTAGGGTTCCGGGTTAAGGTTGCGGCGTTTTCACAACCCGAGAAGATTGACTCCGAGCCGTCTGACATTCACCTGCCGGGTTAAGTGATGTTAGCTGCTAACATTTAGCATATGGTCGAAAATGCATCTGTGGACGTAACGCTCATCTTCAGGAGCATCATCGCTGGGATGATCCACAAGACGAGTTTTCACCTGGATTCGCAAGCATAGCACGTACGTCACGTCGAAGGGTTCTTTACAGCCTTAGTGTCTTTGCGACAAAGCGTGGACCTTCCAATTCTTGTGCAGGGCCTGGCCTTCGATACGTCATTCAGACGTCTTTGAGGTGAAGGCACTTTTTGAAAAGGATGCCAGTGCACATGCTAAGCTGGGTCGACATGCACCCTGAATCGTCCTGAATCCTCAAGCTTGCCACGCTTTGCACCATGGCCTCTGCCGCACAGCCCGTGGCCAGCAGGAACTCTGTCACGTCCACACCTGCAGTTTAGGGTTTCGGGAGCTTCCGAGTCATTGCTGCGCCTGGACATGGAGCCAACGAGTTGCGGCCGAGCGGCGGAGATCTGGGTTCCAGATGATAAAGTGCGGCTCGCTGGCCTCGTCAGAGTCCACATCGAAGGCCCACTGGTGAAGACCTGGGTCCAGTTGTCACGTCTCCAGCTGTCCAAACCGTCGGCTGAATACAGTCGGACATGCCGATTCGGCTGTGCAGACAGCAGCACAAAGCACAACGCTCCGTTTGCTTCCTGCTGTTGTTCCTGCGCTGCGCATGGCTTGCCCGCATCAGCAGAAGTACGTTGCCTTCACAAACGCACCAGCTTCTGCAGGGTACCCGCGGAGAAACGACTGGGATGGGGGGACAGGCAGTTGACGTGCAGGGTTTTCTCTTTCAGATTTCACGATGTCTAGACTCAACTTTAGCACCTGTCAGGATGTGCGGAGTTAATTGGCAAAAGAGGTACGGAAGAACTCACGATGCCCAGAAAGCTCAGCTAGCATTGGCTGAGATCAGAGCACAAACTGACATTGCTGGGCCCCTTCACTTGCTGAGAGCATGGCTGAGAAACGACAGAGTGCATTCGGACAGCCTAGAATTTTGTGGGAAGGGGACTCGCATGTGAAACCACGGCCGGCAAAGAGCGTCACAAACCCGTCAAGCTGGAAAACGCCGAGGAATATGCCTCGTAAGCCGAGAAGGTGATCGCCTGACCGATCGAGATTTTCATCAATCGTGGCGCAATGCCTTTGTAGAAAGCCATTGCACCCTCTTGTTGCAAAATGGATCGAAATGCCTGCAAAGTGCTCGTGTACTCCTTGGTGTTCCCATCCTGTGCCTCGATTCGTGACTTGATCACGTCGATGGGATTGTTGAGGAGTGTGCTGCAGCAGCCCGTAATGCCGCCTGCAACAGCCGACTGCCACATCTGCGGTGGGTCGGTGGTGAGAGCAGACTTGACATGGCCGTAAAGTGCGAAGCGAACTCCAACGCCAGAAGCTTGCCGGATGCCTGTGGCGCCAATGCCTGCATAAAGACCCCGGATGCCGTGATCGCTGGCTACGGTGCGGATGGAGCCCACCAGGCTGGAGTAGCGATTCAAACCAGACTTGATGTCGTTCTGGCGCAAGACCTTCAATCTCTCCGTGGGCGTCGTCCACAAGAAGGCCTCTGCGAATCCAGCACCGATCCCTGCGAGGAAGTCCACGGAGGGCTTCGGCGCGCAGTACTGCAAAAGGAACTTGAACTGCTCGAAGGCAGTGAACCGGATTGCACCCTTTCCAGCCACCTGAACCAGCACCGCAGGCAACCCGAAGTAAAAGCCGTGAATTCCCTTCAGTTGGTAGATCTGCTGTGCTCCGGCCACCGGACCCAGTCCAGTGCGGTTCACCTGGCAGTAGGTCTTCACCGTGTCCAAGGGCATCGTGACGGAAACCTCCGTGGCTCCCGAGCAGAAGCCTGCCAAGAAGCTCACGGCCCAGTGTGCCTTCTTCTTGGGCAGGGCAATCGACGTTGGGCTTGCAACCTGTGCGGGCTGGGCGGCCGCCACTGCCATTTTCTGCTGGGCGACGCCGACACGGCAAAAGGTGAAGGGTTGGAAGAAATGGCGCTGGACGTTCCCTCAACAACTTCGAGCCGAGATAGGAGATAGTGATAGGCGTGCACGAGTAAAACATAGTGAATCCCACCTATTTGCCGCTTCGATCTGCGCTGTCATGGCTCGTGGCAGGAAATCTAAGACCTTGGCCGTTGCGGAATTGGCCGGGTACACCCTCGTTTCGCGCATGGCGCAGCAAGACCCAGCCGCCTGGCCGGGTCACCTGCCGCAGTTTCCGTGTGTGACTCTAGCACCCAGACTATACCACCTAGTAATTTTCGCCTCATGCATGGCTGATCACCTAGTAATAATACTAAAACTATATAGTACATTACCCAAGATTCAGGACAAGTCCGCAACTACAACGAGCTGGCCTCAACTGCTGAACCGGCCTGCTCGAAACTGGGCGAACGCCGTCATCTGCTGATACCAAATGCACTGCCAGATACACATGGATACGCTAGGTCAGGTTTAGGGAAATGGCAAGGTCATGTGGACGGAACGAACGCCTCATCGTCACTATAGACCCGGAATCCCGGAAGACCTGTCCGAAACACCCCTCAGTGTCCCTCAATCCTGAAGCTTGGGCGGGAGAGGGCCTGCAGCATGCGCTGGATGCCCAAGACCTTATGAGGTCCACAGATTTCCAGTTGAAGGTTTTGGATCGTGTGGCAAAGGCTGCCCGCAGTGGCAGCGGGCATGCATTCTTGAGAAAGCGTCGGTATTCGCCGTCTGTATGTAGTGTATTGGCTGTGCGGCTATACCCGTAGGATTCATTCGCTCTGCACAACAAATGTAGTTCCATTTCTTCAAAAGCAGAGAAGAAGACCAAGCACAAAACAGCTTCACCATGTTACCGCAGCCAAGAAGCGGGATCGAAGCTGTGATCCAAGGCGTTTCGGATGTGGACCACGTCGAAGTGGGGAGACGGAAAGCACTCATGCAGCTCCTACAGCAAGGCTGCAGCCAACACCTCTATAACACTCGAGGAGGTCGGAACCCCCAACCCTGAGACATCCGAAGACTCAAGCTCTCAACTCTGAAGCAGCGACTTGAAACCGCAGTCTCAAACCACCTCGACCGGGCATTGGAGAGGCAAATATGGTGGCTTCAGCTCTCGCTCGTCCAGAACCTCAGGTACAGTACCAGTACCGATGCAGAGTGCTGTGCGCTCCCACCTGTGACATGCGTCTGCTGGAATCCTGCTGAAACTGTCTTCAGGCGATGCAGGACATACGATGTCACGTCACGGAAGGGAACTCCTCCCTCTGTCGCGTGACGTCGAAGTGTGAGAACAGTCGCGCCAATGCGGTGATCCCTCTAACCTATAGCCCAATCTTTTCAGCATCGGCATCGCTCAGTGATGCAGCTTTCCCGAACCAAGCGGCTCTCTGAGTGAGTCAATCCGAAAACATCAAATCCCCTCCAGCTATCAGCCGAACGACACGATTATAGAATCGTGCCAGGCCGTCGGCTGCCACGACCTGCCGTTGTGCACTGATGGAAAAAGTGTCAATTCCCGGAGACTTGGCGGAGCCACTCCTATTCTCATATATTCGGACTGCAAGGCCTCTCATGTAGAAGCTTACGCCCACAGACCATGCTGCGTTTGGGGCTATTTGCGGCCATTTGAGGCATGCCTCATGACGGATAGGAGCTCCATTTGGGACATGTACCTCGGGAAAAAACTATCTCGTCGCTTCTCCCCTGGTGCCTGGCAGCCACATGCTGAAATCTGGATGTGAAGTCTTTTTCACAACCAGTTGATTCCTCATTACCCCTCATTTGAGCCACCGATTTAGCAAAACCAAACGCTGACCAATCCCGAGTTCACCATATCGTGCAACATGAACCATGGAAGAATCTTGCATCTATCCATGCCATGATGCACCTGCAATCTATCTTCACTCTCCAGGTTCACAGTCTGACCAACCCCACCCCAACTCACAAAGAAAACTCGTCCTTCACCACCGAAGGTCGTCCGTCCAGCTGGCAGTCTAAAGGCTTCGGCGCTAACGGGCCAGAACCTTGCGCCAAGGAGCGAGCTATAGCGTGATGGTTTGTTTTGGTTTGTACAGGACTTGGTCTGGGATAAGAGAGAACCGCGGACACGGGGGGGGGGGGGGGGGGGCATGTCTTGCTGGCTGAACCACCGGCATTCAGTGCACGCGGGATCTTGCCCCCGGTGTAGCTTTTGCCACGTCTCTTCCGCCCGTCTGCAACCTCAGCTCACTCAGCTCAATGGAAACGCCGCCGGAGCAAGTGTAGGGGCCTTGATATAGTAACAATAGGGTTCCGGGGTATATTATTCTTTACATTATACTATAATCCCCAAAACCCCAAAAACCCTAAGTCTATGATAGGGCGACTATTATAAGGTCCTAATACATCTATATTATGAATATTATTCAGCTATTACTGAGTGTCGGCGTACCCAAGACATCCCCTCTATCCGCATCGACTTGGGCAATTACCTCACTTGGAATGGCTGAGCTGCGTAGCCACAAAGGTCATCTCCTGGCAGCGTCCAGGGCACAGCGCCAGTGGCTAGCCATTGCCTATGAGGGTTTAGGGTTTCGACTCACACACTCGCACAAGGTTTAGGGTTTAGCGTTCAGTGTTTAGGGTCAAGGCGTCCAAGAGGAGTCTGCGAGTACACCGGATATCGGGCAGCTTTGCGGCTTGGAGCTCGTTGTAAATCAGCTGGATCACTGCCGGGGAAAGCTCCGGGGGGTGATGCCAAATCATGGAGGAACGACTCCCAACACAGCCGCCGGGACTTTGACTACTTCCGTGCAACTCAACTTGGTTGGCTCGGGAGTAGACTTCCGATTCGATGGCTCTGCGAACCACTTCAATTTCCAAAGCTCATGCAGGCAAAGAGCATGTGAGAGCAGTGCATGATAACCGTCTTGTCTAGACCGTCTCTACTCACGCATCATGACGGTCAGTCAGCCACATCTCCGGAACAGGCGGCGCAAAGACAAGGTGGGTGCAACCAGTGCAGGACTCTCCGTGGAAAAGCGGCAGATTCAAACCATGTACCAGTATGTGGTCGGCTTGCCAAGTCAGGCTTTCCTTCTGACCACCCAACTTTTGAAGTGGATCCGAAAACTCTATGAATATGACAACACAGAAGTGGATTGCAGACAAAGGTCTTCAGCCGCTCCAGGCTCACATTCTCCTCCGGATCCAGGGAAAGCTTATCTCTCCTTCACAGGACAAGCTGGATATAGGCACATGCAGAATCCAACAGACATGGATACAGCCGGCCGGCCATGCAAAAAGCGCGTGGTTTTCTCTATGCGTGCATGTTTCTGAGATTTCTGCCAGTTTCTGCAGTGTACCAGTGTTCTCTCTACTGCGTATATATGCCTCGCGGTGTTTGTATGTGTGTATCTAGACCCAATATAGACCACATCGAAGGCAGCCCTGCATCAGTGCGACTGAGGCTCCAAAACGAAGCCTCCATTTCGAGACCCCGAGTCCAGCGTACCTGCGATGGCAGAACACGAAACATGATGAACACGCTGTTCAAGCACAGCGTATACTGTAGCAAAATATACGTATATCAGTTACAGCTACAAAATACTATGATCAACAATATGAGGCAATATCTTGCACAAAGTGTCAAAGGCCATGCGCATCCGATCATGACCCGACCTGCATCGTGAGAAGCATCCTCCGCACTGCCGGTAGAGCCCCAAGAGTCTCCACCCCCTTCGGGGGATCCAGATTTGGAGGCTCCTGGCCTGCTTTTTGGGTTGGCTAGGCTTTGGGGTTTAGGGTAGTTTAGGGGGTTTAGGGGGTTAAGGTAAAAGCCAGAAAGTTGGAATATGATTATCCTAAACCCTGTATGGTAAATTATAGGGTATCCTACCCTGAAACTATATTCCAACCTGGCTTTTACTTTAGGGGCTTAGGGGTTTCGGCGCTCATACTCGGACAATCTAGGCGAGGCATGTGGTTCGAGGTCTGTTGAAGTGAGAGGTTACTATTGGGGATGGCCAAAGCAAACAAAGTTACAGTAAGAAATAGGGGTTTAGGGGTTTAGGCAGACATTTGGGAGTTTCCGAAAATAGGGGACCCTAATATAGCACCCTGAAAAGTAGGATCCTTATTCTAAGGACCCCAAAATCAGGTACCCCCCAATTTTCGGAAACTCCCATTTGGAGATGCAAGGAAGGTGTAATTACCGGGCAGAAGCTTAGTAGATGTCGCGGGGTTCGAGAACAGTGCTCGTAATGGATGGACTCCTGTCCCCATCCGTATGCAGAGTCGGCTCGATTAAAACCAAGCGTCCCGTCGTGAAGTGGTCGAGCTTGGTACTATGCACTGATGAGATTTGCTGACAGTCATGTTCCGAAACTTTGCTAGTGCATGCATGCCCGTTGCAAACAGTTCCAAACCTATGTCATGCTGACATCGCACGACGGCATAACAATCATTGCACGAGCCAAATGAAGCGATAATAGTCATCCTCGAATCCGAAGGTCATGAGCTTCAGCCGCAACATTCACATTTGTACGGTATCCTAAGATGGCAGGAACATTCGTGTCATAGTTGCCATTTTGTTGCTGCCACTACTAAGACGATGACGACTACTACTTCTATTTCTATTTCTACTGGCTGCGAGGCCTTTCGGCACTGGCCCGGGCTGCGTGGAGGTGCCAAGCATCCTGCGTGAAGGAGCAGGTAGTTGACTGTCCCGATAGGTGCGGAGACTAGGAAGCGTGACTGACGTAGACACAGTGTGCGCGATTTCAAGCTCGTTCAATCTCAGGGCAGTCTCACTGTTGCTGCTTCTGCGTCTAGACCCTTCAACCACCTAAGTGTAAACAGCTCGCAGTCTCCTGCAAAATCCAAGCCATGGCCTGTTGGCACGGCACCCCCTTTTTGTCATGCACGAACGACTCAACTTGGGTTTGCCTCATGGTTGGCCCCATGGGCTGCAGAGAGGCCTTTGTCAGCCTGTGTGAAGCTCTTGGCTGCACTGCACGGGGAAAAGCAGGGCATTAGCTGAGCAGGTCTATACAAAGGGCTAGTGGAAGACAGCTCCCGCCGTGCGTGTCGCAATTGGCAGGCGTCGCGGCAACGGAAGCATGGACCAACTCCGCGTTTGCAAAGCAATGCCGTGGTGGCAGCCAGCTACTAAATTTGCGCCCTGCGGCACTGCAAAGTTGCAAAAGAATGACACTCCTCAACGAAACGGGAGGCACGGCAAAGCTGCACAAGAATGACACTCCTCAACGAAACGAGATGCTAAGCTGAGCTTCTGCACATCCATGCTAGACAGTCGACCTTCCCAACTGAGTTGCCGGTGGTAGTTGGCCAGAGGTCTGGTATTTCTTTCGGCATGTCGGGCACCATGGACCCTTCGCGGCAGAGGCCAACGACCAACGGACGATGCACCTCTCATGAAAAATATGCCGGCACGGCAGAACTGCCACCTTACTGTCTGGCAGAAACTCATCCAAACAACACGGGCAAGTCTTCTCCAGCTCCAAACCGAAACAGGCGCTGGATAAGTTGGAGACCTCCGCAATTGGAGTCCAATCGACTGCTCCGTCCTTCGTTGTGATTCCTTACTTGCTGAGTTCATAAGCCCCCAAAAGTGTACACTTTCAGTTTTATAGTGGCTAATATTATCCCAAAAAGTGTAAAGTGTATCCACTCAGCTACTAAGATTCGGACATGCCGGTAGTCCAAGGGCCTCGTTGCCAGGGTGCTAAACTCGCAAGTCGCCCAGATGCAGCTGCACTCCTTCACCGGTCTGCCTCGTCTCGAACGACCGAATGCCTGGGTCCATAAGCAGGAAACTATACGTAATATATATATATATATATATATATATATATATATATATATATATATTCATTTGACGTCTAGATCCCGACGGTAGGGTAGCTCAAGTTATAGGTTCCTTAACAAGAACCCAGATGCAGTCTTCATGAGGCCGAAGGAAAGAGCCGACAACAAGACCACGGTCGAAATCAAGCTCGGCAGACTCTCTCGGCTGGGCACTGTGGCTAGCAGTATGCACATGACACCGATCAAGGAAAGGAGCGCTGAAACGACTGCAGTGGTGACAATCACCGTGGTGTTGTAGCTCGAAAGGCACGACATAGCACGTTCTGTCCGGGACATCTTTGCCGTTTGGCATCCGGGTCTCTATGGTCCTGCCTGAGCCTGTGCTGAGGACCACGCATTTTGCGGGGTTTGGGAAGAAAGCGCTACTCCTGATAGTCGTTCAATAGCCTACTGAGTGCCTACTGTGTGGGATCAGGCCCACGGACGATCCCCCATCAGGAGGTCCACATCTACGAAAGTGCCATCGCGTCGAATCCTACACACTTGCAATGAAGGACCCCACACACACACAGTTTGAAGATCGATAGTACGGATGTGGAAGGCCCCTTATAATCTAGCCCCCTTATTGTCGACTCTCTCTGTGGGGCGTCCTGCCAGCTGCGCGGTGCCACAGGAATTCGTCAGGCCCCTCGACGGCTAGGGCATAATTCCTGAACTCAGAGCCAGAAAGATGGCTCTCGTTGGACCTACGGATCCTGTGTTGATCTGGGGTTCGTGTCATCCTCGGAACTCCGAAGAACCACAAGCACCGGACTCCGTCTCATCGGAGTGCCCCCAAGGACACAAGTCCTAAACCCTAAACCTAAACCCTAAACCTAAACCCTAAAAGCTTGGCCGAAGTTCTCCAGGACCTCCTTGAGCAAGAAGGGCCAGGGCGAAGCATCTAAGCCTCTGAGGTCAAAACATGTGGACCCAGAGCTGGTCAGTATAACTACGTCTACCTTAGAAGGGGCCCCCACCCTGTAATAGTGGTTCAATAGGAACATAATAGGGCCCTATTATATTCCCATTATACTTTATACCACTATTACAGGGTCGCGGCCCCTTCTAACGTCTACCTATATCTGAAGTCCTGCCCAACCTTCAAATCACAGCGACCAGCAGTCGGAACCCAAGAGCGTGCCGACGAGGGACAGTGCAGGCAGAACTCCAAGGCGCGCAGTGCGAAGCCCATCATGTTCTGCAGCTCCTGGTAAGTTTGCTGTTTCTCGGCTTCTCGCGGTAGCCAAGCCAGAAGAGGATGGAGATACAACCAGAAGATCA